TGAACGTATTATATGCCAACGTCTCCAAAATGAAATCCAAGCTAAAGAAGGTATATCTGATAACCAGTTTGGCTTCCGAAAAGGGAGATCCACCATTCAGGCAGTAAACTTTGTTATCCAGTTGGCACGCGACGCAATAAGTGGTTCACATTGGCTCCGGGGTTCTAAGGAATATAGTTTAGTAGTAATCCTAGACATTAAAAATGAGTTTATTTCGCGACTGGGGAAAAATCCTGGATGCACTAAATCATATCGGGGTACTTTTGTACCTTAAGAAACTCATACGAAGCTACTTTGAAGACCGCTGGCTGGAGTACGAAACCTCAGCAGGTGTTAAAAATTGAAAAAACTCAATCGAAGTTCACCAACTCTCTGTTCTTGGTCCTTTTCCGTACATCCGTGGCTTCAAAAAAATGGTCTTAAATTGCCGTAGCAGAAAACAGAGGCGGTACTCATCTCCATTGGGAAAAAGTTAGAAGAGATTATCATATAAATAAAGTACCTTGGGATAATGTTAGAAAAGTGGTGGTTAATAATAACCCAATTGGAATAAATATGTTAACAAAAAAGCCTTTACGACAGTGGCAGCTTTATCGGGGGTAATGCTAAACACGCGCCGGCCAAAGTGGCGCATGGCAATACTCATCGTACTGCCGCGGTGTGAAGTCAACGTACAGATTATGTGCCCTAGGGGTATGCTGCGCGTTCAAAAGAGTATCTGACGAAGCAGAATTGGCTATCGCCTATCCATGTACTGCCGGAAGCTTTTTTGGAGCGAAATTTAACCCTCCGCGGTAAGAGATGCCAGTAGGCCAGCTTGGCGCTGTATCTTGGATTTCAAACACTGGCTTGACAGAACACACGGGGCAGCAAACTTCTACTTAACTCAGTTCTTAACTGAACATGGGGACTTTAAATCATACCTATACCGGTTTAAACACGAATCTGATCCTATATGCGACCACTGCGGAGGGATGCTGTAAAAGATGTAAACCGTGTGTCCTTCTAATGCGCGCATTTAAAACCAGTGAGAAATGGAGACTTAGAGGGATTGAGGGCTCTGGAAAGACTAAGACTAAGCGCCTCTCCCCAACGAAGTTATGCTTGACGACAGCCCCGTGGGTAGCGGATCTCGACGAAAACAAAAATATGTACTATATATGAATTTGTACGGAAAAGTTTAATCAAGTTCACATACAATGCGTTAATAACAGATAATTGGTAAGAGATTATCGAATCCAAAGACAAAAATATTATAATACATAATAACGCAACTACGTATGTAAAGCCTAACTTCTAAACAAATAAAGCATGTATATTGCAACTAGAAATTATTTTTTAAAACTGATGTTTCCTAAATATGTCGTATTTTTAAAAATGTTCATACATACGTCTTTCCTCTCATAGCCTGATCTCCTTGCGCTTCTAATTCCATTTTCATTCCTTGTTTGCATAAATTTATTCCTCAGCATTTACCATTCATAATCTTTTCAACATTTGTAATGCTATGGAAAAAAATCCAGCAACAAAAGCAAAATTAAGCATTACAAATTCATTGTTACCCCAAACACGAAGCAATCAGTCCGTGTCAACATATGCAAGGCTATCAATTTAACGACCGGAAACACTTTGCCACAGTCACTTCCTCTACCATTTTTTTTTTATTCTTCTTCCACGCATTTATACACACTCATTTTAAAGCAATTTGCTATTTTATTTTCACAAAGTGCTGAAATAATAAAGCGAGTTTAAAATTGCGTAAAAAACCGGAAATAAAAACATGGAAGGGGTGGGCGACAAGGCGGGGGATAGAGCAAAGAAAATCACATAACGAGCGCAAATCTGCAGCTAGCGAGCTTAAATGTCAGCAATTTAGTATAGTCAACGACGCGTGACTGTTTCATGCTGACTACTTAGCCCCGCTTGCGCCCTTATTGCAATCTTTTTAAACTACCAGCAGGGCCAGCAAACCAACTACATACATACATTCATAAAACCAAACTGCTTTCAATCTCGTCGCACCACTCGCCGCACACTAAAGCATCCAATTTACCACGGACATACCGAGCAGCGCTTTTTGTTGAAGCGTACTCTTACTACTCACATTACGCATGCACGAGTGTGCAAACATCTACTGCTTCCAACCACATTTTCTTCATGCTTTTGCAGGCGTCCTTTTCTTTGTTGGTCATGCGCTCAGCAACAGCTAACATCCGTGCGTTCTAAGTTAGCATCCGTTTCCGTTAGCATCTAGTAATCTGTGAGTTTTTTTGTTTTTTTTTCTAATTTCCTCTTCCCTATGGCTACTGTAATATTTGCTTTTGTCACTATGTTCACTAGTTACTGCTACATACCTATATCCGAATATGTGATTATGTATGTTTGTATGTAAAAATATGTTTTGTACTTCCTTGGTACAGTAATTTTTATTTAACTTTTTTTTCTACTTAAATTTTGTATGTTCCGGTGTCCAATATGCGAAATCGTTCAATTTTCTTTCGCTTGTGGGCATACATAGATACACGCAATAACTAATACTAATGCACCCCACGAGCGCTCTAGTTTCCTAACAGAAATTGTCACTGTCACGCACACCAACTAAACAATCACTGCACACAGCCATCTTCAACTCCTATGAAATCAATTCTAAGTTTAGCTGCCAACCTATTTTCTCTCCTCCCACCGCATTTTGCATTTCTACTCGGATTCTTATTATGTCCGCCCTTTTGGCCGCCCTTTCATCTAACGTGGTCACCCACTAACTGCCCGCTGCCACTCAAACGCTCTTGAATTTTACTTTTTCGACACGTTCTTTTCAAGCGAACCACACTTAAATTGTGTTTCCGGCATAAAGACGACACAAAATGATTTCCGACGTGCTGCTGACATTCTTCATTACTTCCTTTCTCCATTCACTTGTCTGCTAATTTTTTCAAAATATAAAATGAAAAAAATGTAAAAAAACGTACGACGCGTGATTTCAAAATGCGGAATGCTGCTGCAGTTGACGGTGGTGTGAACGAAAAATATGAAGAACATATTTCAAGTGAACAAGTTTTATAAAAACTACAAATAAACTTAGTAAAGCGAGGAGGGCAGTGGTTGACTAATGGCAGGGAAAACAGGTTTTGAAAATCTTAACTTTGGCAGTGAATTTAGATCTAAATGTAGTTATGCTGTTTTTATTTAATATTCTTTATTTTAACATCACATACATACATATAAAAAGCGCTTTCTATAAGGAATGGACACCTTTTTTAAATGTTTCATAATCCCAGATTATTTCATTCATCTTCGAAAGTTGCTATGTCGATTCTCTGGCTCTTTGATTATCAAAATAATGTTCCCATAATACAACTGAAATTTTTCCACATTCTGTGTAGCCGATACTGTGACTCTCTCTCATAATTTCCTGTCACTACATGCACATTTATCTATTATTAGTTTCGATTTTGGAAAGTTCAAAATTTCACGGAATTTGCAATTTTATTTTTTCAATATCTCAAAAACTATAACAGTCACAAAAATGCTGCTGGTCTTGTTTTAAGGGTAATATTTGGGGCTTTAACAAATATGCACACGAAAAAATCTAAAACTAAAAACATATGTATGTACAGAATTTTGAAATTAAAAAAAGTCGCAAAATCAAATATTTAAAAAAGGCTTTGGCACAATTTCTTTTTATGCAGGTACTGTATTTACTGTGCTGATTTTTAAAGATTCTAAAAGAAGTTTTTTTTTTAATATAAATTTTTCAACTTTGAAAAAAAAAAACGTTTGCGGTTTTAACTTTATTTTTAATTTAGAGTTTGCAAAAAGAAATATTTTAAGCAAACAACACATTTAAAGAAACATCTTCTTTAAAATTTTTGCATCTTTTGAAACCTGGTAGAGGTAGATGTTATATGAAGAGAAAAATTTTGACAAAATTATATAAAAGAATTTGTTTTTAAAATTTTTTAAATTCCAACAATTCAGTAATATTTTTCGAATTTGCTTTTAAAATTCTTTAAATTTCGAAGTTCAGTAATATTTTTCGAATATTTGTTTAATATTGACTTTTTATAGCCTCAAATATTACCTTTAAAACGAGATCAGAACCATTTTTGAAACTATTTAGTATAATTCTGGATTTCCACTAGGCATTAAATGGCAAAAATGAAAAATGACAAAGTTGGGTATTAAAAATAATCGTGTTACACATGGCACTTTTTTAAATGGAATACATTTTTTGTCATTTCAATGCCTAGTGGAAATCCGGTTTTTGAAATATTCAAAGAATAAATTGCAAATTTTGCAGTTTCGTAAAATATATAATTTTTTTGGCTTTAGCGTACTGCATTTTGTTATATAACAAAAGAAAAGTTTTGACAGAAATTCATCGAAATCAAAAATCGTCCATTACGGCAATTGGTCGATTTAACATGGATTTACGCACGTACAGATAGACAATCTATACCAATTTCACTCATAATACAATCAATATAGCTAACCACTAACTATTTTTATGCAATAATCCTCCTCTGTTCCTCTAATCCTTCTCTATTCTGAAAAGACCAATTGGAGATGAACTTGTCTCCACTTATCCAAACACGCCTATTATTGCCGCTTAAGGAGAAAAATATTGAGTAAGAAATGCCATTTTTGTATTAATAAATTAAATTCATATTTAGAAACGCTTAAGAAACTACCTGTCTTTCATTATACTTAATCCAAGTATATCTGAAAATAGCACATTTATGTCGAAAGCTGTGCAGCAGGAATATTAAAGCTTTAGCTGTCAAATGCTATTTTAGTTTGAGCTAAGCAGGCGTCCCTCATAGATGATTGCATATAGTATGTATGTACGGATGTAAGTGAAAAGCTCTTAAGTATAAAACACATGCAGATGTATGTATGTATGTATGAAAGTGTATCTTGTGAATATTTGCTAACAGGGTATATATATGAAACACATCAGCTACGCGTAAACGAGCATTTTACTAGGTGTCAGTCACAAAATGGCAAAAATATTACCGGTAATATGTATGTATGTACGTATGTATATAGTTACTCTTGTATGTATCTAAGGGTTATTCAACTTTGTCCTACATATAATCCCTAAAATGTTATTCGTCAACTTATTTCTTTTCGTTCTTTGCTTTCTTCCACTTGCAGTTACATCATTCACATCACAAACACTCACATCACAATCACCCGCATCGTAATGCTAGCAACAACAATAATAACAATAACATTAACAGCGACAGCTCTTCAACCAACACAGAACAACGCGCTGCCGAATCACTTGTCGCAAAACTGGAAAATGTCGAGGAGCAATATGAGTCCATTATACAGAATCTCCCACAGGATTGCAGTGAAGTGCCGCGTGACAATGCAGCCGGTCTCTTTATGATTTCACCAGCTGGCCAGCAGCGACCGCGCATGGTACATTGCACCGCAGATGGTTGGACCACTGTACAGCGACGCTATGACGGCAGTGCAGATTTTAATCGTTCTTGGGCAGATTACGCTGCCGGATTTGGACAGCCAGCTGGCGAATACTGGATTGGCAATGAACAGCTACATCATTTGACGCGCAACAATTGCACACAATTGCGCGTACTCATGCAGGATATCTACGATAATGTTTGGCTAGCGCAATACGATCGTTTCTATATCTCATCGCGCGCCGATGGCTATCGCCTAAACACCGCCGGCTACAGTGGTAATGCCTCCGATGCGCTCGACTATCAGCAGGGCATGCAATTCTCAGCGATCGATGTGGATCGTGACATCTCACAGACGCACTGTGCCGCCAACTATGAGGGTGGCTGGTGGTTCTCGCATTGTCAGCACGCCAATTTAAATGGACGTTACAATTTGGGTTTGACTTGGTTTGATGCGGCGCGCAATGAATGGATTGCCGTCAAATCCAGTCAAATGTTGATCAAACGTCAGTCGGCAGATAAGTGTAGCAGCGCGGAAGCGTCAGCCGTGGAAGTGTTGACAACGACGACGACGACGACGACAACGTCGACGGGGTTGAGGTCTTTGACTTCGTCTTCAACATCGTCGTTGGCAGTGCCTGCTGCAGGCCAGCTATTAGACGCAACGCATACGGGGGCAATGCCTGTAGCGGCGGCAGCAGCTGTCAAAGTATTAGCGACGAAGCGGCCTGTGCGCGCGCCGTCAACGATAGCGGCTTACGCTTTCGCGACGCGTCTGTAAAGCGTCGTCATTTACCAAGTATGCCAATAATGGATGGAAAAAAAACGATAATGTGCGTACCACCCCACAGCCATACCTGCGGTAGTTTTCGTGTGCAGTGCGTTTGTTGATGTGTAGTATGTAAATATTTGCGTTTGCGTAGCGCTCGTGTGTAGGCGCGTATGTATGTATGATTACTAAAGTAGGAGTAAACATATGCACATGTTTACAGTGAACTGATAGGAAGAATTTTGTGTACGGCGCTGAGTTAAATTAAACTCTGTCAAGGTTACTAATTTTATTATGTTAGTATATAAATATGTCGTATGTCCGTATGAGGTGAGTGTGTGTGTGTGTGTGTGATTAATATTTTTTTAAGTAAGTAGTTTCGTTAGTGCAGATATCTGCTTACAAACTCCCTTAGGCTATAGACAGAGATATGATGAAGCTCATTAGTTTAAGTGAAAAGTGAGCTAATTTTTCTATGTGCATATACATATATGCACTTATATGTATGTATGCACGTCTTTGAATTAAAGTGTGCTTACCAAAAGTATATTTTAGGGTAGAAGAGAAACATAATTTACATGTATGAGTGTAAGTTGAAAAACACTATATTCGCCAATATTACACAAAAAAATAATACTCGCACATTGACATAATTTTTGTATAAATTCTTTGCTTTAATTCTTTTTTATTTTTTTCCTACTACAATTTNAAAAATAATACTCGCACATTGACATAATTTTTGTATAAATTCTTTGCTTTTTGAAATATAAAATCATTTAGTATACAGCTAAACTTAGTTATTTTATTTTACTTAATTTAATTTAATTCTTTTTTATTTTTTTCCTACTACAATTCTTTTCTAGGTTTAATAATTTTTTTTATTTTGAATTTACATAATTGATTATGATATATGTAGGGGTTTCAAAAGACGTGTTTCACGGTCTTTAAAATCTTAACTTAAGATACTTTTGTGTAAAATAACGATTAAATTGATTTAAGGGGGGCTAATTAAATATTTTTTACCAGTTTAAAAACATTTCTGTGTACTTTGAAATTCTCTAAAACCATTTTTATCACTTTTTACTTAAAAAACGGCTAAACTTAAGATTTTACGACGGTTAATACATCTTTTGAATCTTTTAATTATGTAATATGATATCTGTATACTTTTCCTATGCAGTATTTTATCTTAGCACTCGAACTTTTTAGAATTTTAATATTCACTATTTTAACTAATTAACTTTACAGAAGGCCTAAAAGAGCAATATTTTAAAAATATGCATAATTGAGTATTACAAAAGAACTCGAAACTTTTCTAAAACGTTAAAACTTGAACAGAAAACCTCTTCGGACCTCGAATTTTTCAATTTCATTCGTTTAAGCAAATCCTCCAGCTTAAGAGGCCAGCTTGATAAGTCAATGACATTCGGAATGACAGATAATTTTTCAGCAAGCACGATAAATTTATTTTTCTTCTTTTTTTTGTACTCATTACTTCTCCTTTAAGGAGCGTTTACACCGGGTTTACCGCTTTTGTGTATTGGGACATAGCAGAATCATGTGCAAAGAAGTTGCAGAGAGTATTGCTCGGGATTCATAAGCCCAAAATTCTACACCTAAGACCAGAAGTATTAAGTAAAAGGAGCATTTGTGTTGTATGATAGTGGAAAAAATAAGCTTTTTTTCTTACATTCTCTAGACAAACCCAATTGCAGATACAAGGTTAAGGCAGTAACGAGACGAAATTTTAACGATTAATTTATGATTTTTTTTTTGTAAAGATCATAACCGTTACAGTTTCAAATATTTATTAATTTTCCTTGAGATCCTCGAATTTAATGGGGCATTTCCAACAAGCCTTAATAATTGGTAAACCGAGATTATCACTCGATCGGGGTAGTTGGTCATATTAAGTACAAGTAACCTAAAGTATGACAGCAAAGGCTAAGAAATAAAGATTGTCAATCACCCCATTTTAAAATAGTTGATACTTATCTGAGCGCTTAACTGCAGTTAAACTTTTGGTGGAAATAGGCTATAAGAGCTGTTTTCAGTGAGAATCTATTGTTGATACAATTTCGGATTTTCCGAAATTTTGGATTTTCACAATCTCAAAAGAAGCATTCACCTTTTATAATTTACTTAGCAAATTCGCGAGATGGTTAACCTTTAATCCCAGTTAAATATAAGCAAACCGTGAAATGCATGAAAATCACTGACTTATTAAACTGATCTCGTACTTCGAGAATTAGTGCAAGAAAAAAAAACTATCTAATAATTAATGTGTTTTAATGGTAAATTAAGTTTTCAAATTTATTTTTATTTTATAAACAGTGCCTCATACTATTTAACTCAATTTGCTTATAGATACATAAGTATGTATATATTACCTCATTGCACCTTTTTTATATTTTTTATATGAATTTGCAAATATTTATTCAACTATTATTCAATGATTAGTATTCGTAAATGCAAACACATATCGGCATTTATTTTTCAATTAGACCACTTAAATAAAGCACTATTCATTAATTGACTTAAGCGCTGCAATAATCCATAGAATCATGAATAAAATTATTGCTAATAAATGCATATTTCTTAGATAGCAAAAAAAAGGAAAAATACCTTCTTAATTTTTCATTTCTCATTTCCCATTTGCAAACCGATGACTTTTTTAGTAGATAGCTGTACTTATAATTGTATGTACTTACAAGTACGGTATTATAGGGAGGACACAATATATGTCAAAATTTATTGGGATTTACGTATTCTAAATTAATGCCGTACTTCAGTTTTGGTTATTGGGTGGGTATATGATGTCTTTTAGAACAAATTTCCGTCGTCCCTTATCCCATTTTTCGTTCAGGTTATTTCATGCGAAAGCTTGAGGTAAAATATATGTATGGAACACCTATCGATTATATAATAGGTTTGTTCCACAAGCTACTCGAAGTCACTTCGAGTTACACATACGCGTTCCACAAGTAAGTTTTAGAGTCTAATTGAACAGTTTGAACTTTGCTCGAATTTTCCTACGTGTAGTCAGTCCGTTAAGTACTAATTTTTCTGATGAGACTCGCTCGGTTTATGGTGTAAAAGTTGCACAGTGTGGCGAAGTCGGTAAAAGGTGATAAAAATATGTTGATCTTAAATAATGGACTTGAAAATGTCTAAATCAGGTTTTTCATGGTGCTGATTAATAGTCTGAAGTTGAAATGATAATTTTCGAAAGAGTGTTGCCACCTGTTTAACAATTCAAAACTAATTTAAATAACCATTCAAATTGCATATTTGAATATTGGTGCCTAACTACAAAGAGATGTTTAAGAAAGCTTTATTTCGTAAAAAACTTTTTAGGGGATTGCCACATGTTTATAAATTCAAACGAGACGGTTTAAAAAACTCAATTTCTTAAAGATTTTTGAAGAGGGTTGCCACTAGTTTAGAAATTCAAAATCAAATTAAGTAACAAGTTAGATACTTGAATATGGGTATTAATTCAATACCTACATATCTTCGTTTAAAGTACAAAACCGCGTATCGTCATTCTGCAAAACCGCATAACTGGCTTTGGCTGCCAAAAATTGGATTTGCTCACACAAGCTCTTGGCGCAATCCTTATCCATTCGTCCTGAAATATACTATCCAGAAATGTGACTGCTTAATAAAAGAGAGAACCAATTTGAAATATGAGTGTTTTTACGCTCTAGAAAATAATTTCTACAAGTTCACATACGCGGTTTTGCATTTTGCTTATACGCGGTTTTGCCTTTTGTTGATACGCGGTTTTGCACTTTAAACGACGATATACTTGTACATTATTGCTATATGTTGCGGCTAGAAAAAAAAAAAAATTATACAGAAAGCAATACAATATATCACTTTCCTCTATATTTCACTTTCATTGGATGTGCGTCTTGGTATTTATGTGCATACACAGAAAATCACAGCAAAGTATTAGAGCCACCCTAATGCGTATAAATATAAAATTATTTGTTTACTGCCCCATCAAAAGTATGTCTTTGTGTGCATTAAAAGTGTCATTGGACTTAATTGAATAATAATGTGCAAACTTTTCATAAATAACAATAAAAAAGAACGCAAGAAGGACAGCAAAGACAACTGATGGCAAAAATGCAAGCAAAAAAACGTACAAATAAATTTTATTATGATTCCACTTTGTCACTTTTAGTGGTCTAGGTTTATTTTACTTTACAATTATTCTGAAACCATAAAGTACTAGCTGAGGAAATCTCAAATAACTTTTTATATTTCACGCTTTTATGCTAAATTGTTTTTATTTAGATCATTGCTCTTATTTCCATCTATGAGATCTCTGAAAGGCTTTGTTAAATGATAGTAGCGAATAGTGGGGCAATAGAAAGGTATTGCATATTTTCTTCTGTTTCTCTGATATTATTAATCCGGATAATTTAAATTGTTTTATCTTTGAATACCATTCGTGGTCTTACCTTGTAAGAGGCCCGGACACACACAACTTATGTATGTCTATGATGCTGGGTCATCTCCTTCAGAGATCAATGGCATTCAATAAGATACTTTGTACTATTTACAAGTTTTAGTTTGCCAATAATTTTCCACATGTTCTGTACTTATTTTAGTGAATGTTTATTAAAAATTTGCACTGATCATCCTTTTTCAAAATTTTTAAATTTTATATTATGTTAGCATCTAAGTTTACAGTAGCCCGTTCCTTAATTTACCTTTATGTTATTATTTATTTGCTTTTGTCTGCAAACTCTGTTGTACTATAAAAGATCCTTGTATCTTATTGTACTAACATATCCTCAATAAATTGAATTAATTAGTAAACGTGGCGGTATCTGGGCATGCTTAATGTAAGGGTTTTAGTCTGAGGACTGATTTCGTTTTACATACATTTGTCCGATATGAAATCTTAAAAGGTTAGGATGTTATGAATTTTAAAAATTTTCCCAATAAACAAAATTTTACTTCGGGATGTAAAGTTTACATTGCACTATTTATGCATTAGGTTGCCAAGACATACTGATTCTATCAGTACAGTACTGATTTTTCAACTCTTGTACTGATTTTATTAATTTCTTCAATCAGTAAGCTAATGTCCTGATGTTTCAAATTTTTTACTGATTTGTATTGAATTTTCAATTTAAACAAAATACTTCAGGATTTTCTTAAGATTTTTACATAGCGTTGGAACTTGCTTAATTAAGAAGAAAATAATTTAATTGTAGTTGACATGTTTTAGAAAAATGTTTGATATGTCCAAGAAATTAATACAACAATAAGATCAATCGTTATATGGGCATATTGCCGGGTCGTTACGTACCAGTTGCGATAATATGAAGGCTGACGTTTTTTTTTGTCGTGTGTTGTTAGTTATCGCAAAAATAACTATCAGTTTAATAAAATCAAATTGGAATATACGAATGGCTTTTGCCTATATCTAACAATTCTTTTTTCACAATTTACTCACATTGCAAAAGACTTTTGCATACAGGACCTAGAGTTAGATACTTTTTTTAGCGAATCCTTGTTCTTTCGAAGTTTTCGCGTAGTTGAAAAAATTAATTGAAGCCATGAGGAAATATATGTAGATGAAATCCTTAAATAGTTGTACTTTTCCACATTTTGAAAGAA